GGAGGACCTGAGGAACACAGACCAATCAGCCTCACCTTAATACCTGGGAAGTTACTGGAGCATATCCAAAGGAAGTTCATTTGCAAGCATCTGGAGGAGTAAAGGCTGATCACAAGCAGCCAGCATGGATTTACTAAGAACAAATCATGTCAAATAAACTTGATCTCCTTCTTTGGCAGAGTAACTGGTTGACAGAGTGACCAACTAGTTATTCTCTGGTTCTGAATTTCAGCAGCGCTTTTGACAAGGTCCCACATGCCTATCTTATAAACAAATTGGAGAAACATGGGCTGGACAAAACTGCTTAAAGTCGATAGACAACTGGCTCAATAGTTGTAAACAAAGGGTAATTATTAAGAAAGGCAGGAGATTTCAAGTGGAGTACCACATGGGTATGTCCTGGGCCCAGTGCTGCCCAACATGTTTATTGTTTTGGATGCTAGCATAGAAAGCTTCTTCAGGAAGTTTGCAGATGACATGAAACTGGGAAGGACTGTGAACATGTTGGAGAATGGGAGTGCAATTTAGAAGGATATTGACAGATAGGAAAGTTGGGCTGAAGCTAACAGTAGATCAATACTGAAAATTCAAGGTGCTACAGATTGGAAAGAATAATTAAAAATACAAAATGGGTGACCCCTGGCTGGATGGCAGCATTATGGGGAAGGATCTAGGAGTCTTGGTAGATCACAGATTTAGTATGAGTCTGCAGTGTGATAAAGCTGCAAAAAGACAAATGCATTTTTGGGTTTCATCAAGAAAAGCATTAGGTGCAAGACATGGGAGGTGATTCTGTCTCTACTCAGCACTAGTTAGACCACATCTAGAGTACTGTGTGCAGTTTTGGGCTCCACATTTTAAAAGCGATGTGTCCGAGAGGGCTAGAGAAGGTCCACAGATGGGCAACAAAGATGATAAATAGCACATAAACAAGTTATAAGAGGAGAAACTAAAGGAGCTAATCATGTTTAATTTGCAGAAAAGGCACTTAGGAGGTGACATGATAGGAGTCTTCAAATGCTTGAAGGGCTGTCATAAGGAAGTGGGAGAATACCTTTTCCCTCTTGCTGCAGAGAGTAGGAAGTGGACCAATGACTTGAAGTTACATCAAAGTAAGTTTAGATTGAATATCAGGAAAAACTTCTTCACAGTTGGAACAGAGAGACAGTGGAATAGCCTGCCTAGGGAAAGTGTGGACTCTTCATCACTGGAGGTGTGCAAGAAGAGGTTGGACAGCCAGTCATCAGGGATGACATAGGCTTAGCTCTGCCTATGTTTTACTCTGATGATTCTGGGCTTTGCTGATTGCCACGTGGGGCTGCGGTGGAATTCTGTGCTTCTACCCTCCCTTCCTGCTACTTGTCTCAGGGTTTTTTTTAGCTTTTCTCAGAGGAATTGGGCATTGACTGCAGCCAAGGCTGGGTATTTTGACTGGTGTGTGGGCCAGTGCTCCTGCTGGGACTTAACTCCAAAGGTTTGTGGCTAGAGGGTCTTGCCCCTCTACTCAGAGTCAGACTGATCACCATATTTGGGGTCAGAAAGGCATTTTACCTGATGGTCATATGAGTATGGACTGTGAGGGATTGTGCCTTCCTCTTTTGTGGGGGGTGTGGCCTTTACCTGGGATCTCTTGAGCAAGATCTTGGAAAAGTTTATTAAAGAGGCCATCCTTAATGGGCTGGCCAATGCCCAAATCCTGAGGGATAGCCAGCACGGGTTTGTTGCAGGTAGGTCTTGCTTGACCAATCTCATTTCCTTCTACGACCAGGTGACCTATCACCTGGACAAGGGAGAAGAGTTGATGTCATATATCTTGACATCAAAAAAGCCTTCGATCTGGTATCCCATGATCACCTCTTGGCAAAACTGGCCAATTGTGGCCTTGGGTCCACCATGATCTGCTGGCTGGGAAATTGGCTCCGTGGTCAGACCCAGAGGGTGGTCATTGATGGAAGTCAATTGTCATGGTGCCCTGTGACCAGTGGGGTCCCCCAAGGCTCTGTCCTTGTACCCATACTGTTCAACATCTTCATTAATAATGTAGACATTGGAGTCAGAAGCGGACCGGCCAAGTTCACTGACGACACCAAACTCTGGGGTAAAGCATTCATGCCTGAGGACAGGAGGGCGATCCAGGCTGACCTGGACAGGCTCAGCAAATGGGCGGACGAGAACCTGATGGTGTGCAACACTGAACAATGCAAGGTTCTCCACCTTGGGAGGAAAACCCTGCAGCATGCTTATAGGCTCAGCAGTGCTACACTGGCTAGTACTATGGAAGAAAGAGACTTGGGGGTCATCATTGACCACAAGATGAACATGAGCCTGCAATGTGATGCTGTGGCTAGTAAAGCGACCAAAACACTGGCTTGCATCCATAGATGCTTTCCAAGCAAATCCTGGGACGTCATTCTCCCCGTGTACTCGGCCTTGGTGAGGCCACAGCTGGAGTGCTGCGTCCAGTTTTAGGCCCCACAATTCAAAAAGGATGTGGAGAAGCTTGAGAGAGTCCAGAGAAGAGCCATGCACATGATCAGAGGTCAAGGAAGCAGACCTTACGATGACAGGCTGAGAGCTATGAGGCTCTTTAGCCTGGAAAAGCGCAGGCTCAGGGGTGATCTGATGGCCACCTATAAGTTTATCAGGGGTGACCATCAGTATCTGGGGGAACGTTTGTTCACCAGAGCGCCCCAAGGGATGACGAGGTCGAACAGTTATAAACTACTGCAAGACCATTTCAGGCTGGACATAAAGAAGAATTTCTTTATTGTCCAAGCCCCCAAAGTCTGGAACAGCCTGCCATCGGAGGTGGTTCAAGCACCTACATTGAACACCTTCAAGAGTAAATTGGATGCTTATCTTGCTGGGATCCTATGACCCCAGCTGACTTCCTGTGCCTGGGGCAGGGGGCTGGACTTGATGATCTTCCGAGGTCCCTTTCAGCCCTAATGTCTATGAAATCTATGAAATATATTAACAACCTTTTACAGAAGCTGGAAGTTGTCTGTCAAGGCTCCCCTGCTTTACTAGTGGCAGATTTGGATATTATATCTTACATTGTGTCAGGGTAGATGGTAGTTTTACTAACAGGTTAGATTATTGATTTAAATAGGATGGTTTGGATAGGGATGATCCTGCCTGAGGCAGGTGGTTGGACTAGATGAATTATGGAGGTCCCTTCCAGCCCTGCTTCTCTATGATTATATGATTCCCTGGTTTATATCTTCTCTTACTGGTCCCAGAATTTACCTTGGGTGACTATTTTTAACTATATGGTACTCTCCATATTAATGTTACCTTCACATAGCATGTAAAACAGAAAGTAGGGTAGGGTGGCACCTGAGAGGTCATTGCTTCGGAGAGGTATGAGCTTTTCTAAGTAACAACTTATTTCGTTGTTATTGTGCAGGCCCTCTCCCGATCCTGCCTGGATCGCCATGTGCGAGCTCTCTCCCGATCCCATCTGGGTCGCCACGTGCAAGCCGGGGACCCGTCT